TTTTTGGATCCTCTATGCTTTTCCACTGACTGTTCATTACTGTGTCAATTTTATGTCATTTTATAGTCATTTTTTAAACCTATTTTGGAAAGGTCACTTTCATTATTTTTGTTTTACAAGTATGTCTTCTTCCATAGGAACTAAAAAGTTATTTTGTAAAGTTCCAGAATAATCTAACGGGGTTTGAGGTTGTCATTACATTACATTCATAATGTAGGAAGGATTTAGTTCTTGGAATTTGAAAGTTTTTAATAAATCTCTTTTATCAAATCTTGTTCTTGAACTTTTAATAAAGTTTTATAGTTTCTTTATATAGATACTATACTTTTCACATTATATTTATAACCAAATATAATTCAATCAAGTTTTTACCATTTCTGTTTCTAATTAGCCTCTTGTAAAGGAAAAAACTGGCTTTTATATATTTATGTTATATAAAACCATCTTATCAAATTTTTTATTAGTAATAACTTTTTTGATAGTACAATGTCAGCTTTCTTAGGTATGCAACCATGTAATCTTCAAATAAAGATTTCCAAATTTCCTCATTTCTGCTATTATATATTTAGTTTTCTTATTGTATTAGTTAGAACCTCTACAGTGTGTTGAATTACAATAATGTTGGTATCCATAACCTTGTTTTAGTTCCTTGTTTTCATAAGAATGACTTAGGATTTCACTACTCAATATGATGCTTGCAATACGATTTTGGCAAATAGTCTTTTTCATGTTTAGCATTTTTTTCTTTTCATATTTTACTGGGAGTTTTGCTGCTGAATCTTAGTAAGTGCCTATTTATTATATATTTAAATACGCATATAATTTGTACCATTTAATTTGTCATAAAAATTATATTAGACCTGTTAATAATGATCCATCCTTGGATCTTTAAAATTAATCTGATTTGGTCATAAGTATAGCTTGTAATTCTTTTAGTATATTTTAAGATTTAATTTTCTAGGATGTATTTTAATTATAATTTTTGCATCTGCATTGATTTGTGATTTTGATTTATAATTTCCTTTTTTGTTAGTTCAGGGTTTTGTGTGTAGACTATGCTGGCTTCTTAAAAATGAACTCGCTATAGTCTATAATTATTAGACTGACATAGAATTTATGTGTTCTTTGATTAGTAAGTAAAATTACAAGTATAAAACCATCGGGGCATGGTGACTTTTTAGAAAGTAGACTTCCAGTTTAGTTCATGTTTGATCAGATCAATTTTCTCGTCTACCCTGGGTCAATTTTGAAAGCTTACGTTTTCCCAAGAAATCACTCATTTTCTTAAAATTTTCAAATGTATTGTCACTGAATGTGACACAAATTTATTTTCTTTATGTTTTAGTGACATTTGCCAAAGATTTGCCTATTTTATTATCTATTCTAAGGAGTCAGCTCTTGCTTTTACTTATTCTTCTTTCACTTTTTTCATTGTCGTTTTTAAAAATACCGGCTTTTTACCTTCATAGCAAGACTATGGTAAGGTGAATGAGGCACTCTCATTGAGCACAGAATTTAAGGAAGTGCCAAAAAAACTCAATAGTCAAGAAGTTCTGTTTTAATGCAATACTTAAAAAAAATCAAACTTAATGTCCCCCCAAAATCCCTGATGGATTAAACTTTTCAGTAAAGACCAAATCCGTATTACTGATTTTTCCTTTTGCTTCAGTTCCAATATGGCTTAGCATAGCACTGCTCCTGCTCCTTAGTTCATTTATTTTCAGGCTTTAAAAAAAAAAAAACACCTTTCAAGTGTAGAATTTGCAGACCATCAATGTCCTCTGTGACTAGGAAACTTCTCCTCAGTAATCTTTGGTGAAATCTGTTATCTTCCTTTTGGTGAGTACTTATTAAGAATCTTTTTCATATAAAGCACTACCAGTGATGGATACAAAGATGGCCCTAAAAGTTTACATTCTAGAAACAAAAAATATATACAAATGTGAAAAGTTTAGTTGACATTAGAGAGGGAAAAATTAGAGGAAAACATTATCTGGCAGATAGTATCAGACTTACAGTTTTATTGCTCTTGGAATAACTCCTAAAATCCACCAGGTGGTGGAATAAAATGAATTAACAGTGCCATTTAGCTTACATGTTTTCCTAGTTGGAGATTTAATTTTACAGAGAAAGCCACAATTACATATCCACATATTTTAGCTTATTTATGAATTTTCTATTATATCTTTAATTTTTACAAAGCAGAATGTACATGTTGAAAGATTAAACATTTTTAGCCATCTGATATCCTTCTCAAGCAAGGCACTGTAAAAACAAACAAAAAGAGGTCTGGTTTAAAATAGGTCCAAGAATATAATTTAAAACAAAAAACCCAGAGGGAAACTCCCCTAAAAGATGATTATCTTAAGCCTGCAAATTTTAGTAAAAGAATGAGGCACTAATATTAGGCATCTTAGCTAAAATGATTACTGTCCAAAAGGTTAAGATACGGGATTCTCTTTCATATAGTTCTTGTGTGACCTACTTTTCTCCTATCTAGAGACTTTTCAAATCAGATAAATTGATCTGAATGTCTGTATAATTCACTTTTCATGTATATCTTTATTCATTATTAATGTGACAGCAATCTTGCGTGTATTAAAACACATAAAAATGATATTTAATATGAATTCAAATTTAGGTTCAAATGACTTGCCTTAAGTCATAAAATTAATCAGTAGTCAAACTGTCAGGAGATCTGGAGTTCCTCTAAGTCCTGCGTTTCATCATGCTCTGCCATCTAACAATGTCATCAGATGATGAAGATGAATTTAGACAGCCGGTTAGCAACCTATGTTGACATATCGGGAACTGTGGAATTCTAAAAGGAAATAAAAGATTGAATGACTGAGGAATTTACAATCTAATGGGATTGACACTATGGGAATAATTATACTTTACCACTAATAAAAATATATATTACCAAAAATTGTTTAAACAAATATAACCATATATTATAGATCAAAACAGTGTCCTAAACAGAAACTGAGTGAATTTAATTCAATTTGCAAGTATCTGAGTACCTACTAGATGCAGCATACTAGAATACTTTTTTCCTAATGATTTTATAATCTAATGATATGACCTAGTTTAGATTAATTGGCCCACCCTAGCTTACAAAAAAAGTGGCTCATAATGTAGCATATTTTATTTCTAAATTAGATTTTCAAAGATAAAAATGTAGCATAATAACTTAATATTAAATTGCAGACATTAAGCCAATTACCATTACCAATAAGTGGTAGGTTTGAGATTTTTCTACTCTTGAAAAAGAAAAAGGATTTGGTATGTTATCTGGTAAACTATAGCGAGGCAGTTTTTTGCTGCCCTTAGCTGGAACTCAGTTGCATGGAAGGCTCAATAACTATTTGTTGAACTGAAAAACATTTGCCCTCTTGCCTCCCAAAATCTCATAATTTTTTATTTTTGTGCAGCTGCTGCTCTCTTTCCTCTATTTCCCAGTCTCCTCTTCCATCTCCCCTTTACAGCTCTTCCCTTTATGCCCTGACTTTGAGGAGTCTCATCCATTCTTATGGTTGCAGTTGACTCTTGAACCAATGTTTGTAAACTTGACCTTTGTGATTCCAACATTTCTAACTAAACTCTAAACATTCCTTCCTCACTATTAGTATTCCACCTTAAACTCAGCCTCTGAAATCAAACTCATCAACTTGCTATTTAAAAACTAGCATCATCTTCCAACACTGTATTTCTAGCCGTACAGTTGTGCAGGTGGTGCTCTGAACAAAAGCACTTGGCTGAGGAGTGAGTAAGGACTAAAACTAGACTCTTTTAACAGGCAATATACTTGGGCACAGGGCTGTGTCAGCCTTAGGGAAATCTTTTTAGCACTTCCTCCACCTAAAGAAGATACCATTGTCTGACTCACACAAAGGTGACGTACGTATTATTAGTATTGCCATCACTTTCTCCAAGTCACCTATTTCAGAAACAGAATTTCCATTCTTTCTCCCCTCTTTTAGGCTCCCGTGATATGACTACATTCACCACTTTCTTATCATCCACAGGGTCAAGGAGAACAGAGCAGTCCAATGCTTCATCCCTGCACTGTTTTAATGATCTCTTTAACTCTTCCTCTGCTCCTGTCTTTCCTTCACCTTGCAGTAGATTACCCTTTCTTAAAACACAGCTTTGTCTTGTTATTTACCTGTTCAGAACCTTCATGGTTCTGAGCACTATTGTCTGTGTTACTAGAAACAAAATTCCTAGACTACTGTTCTTCAACCAGCCAGGTTCTAAAATACTTATGATGCACAATGTCCTGTACCTTGTGAGCACCCAATACATAATTGTTGAATCATTAAATTTAAGATCTTTCATCATACGTTCCCAATGCCCACTTCTACCTAAGTCCAACTAGTCCCTCTCATATACCCTAGGTACCATTGTGAACTGCTGATGTTTATGGAACTTGTTCCTAACTATCCTATCTTCATAACCTTGGTGTTGCTGATTCATTCACATGGGGCATTGGCCACACCCAGCCCTGCAAAGCCTGTTGACCTCCTCTCTGTAGAATTTCCTTGTCTTGTGCCTATACTTGCCCCTTCTTTTGGACTGAATGCCGCATTTATTATAGCTTACTTGTATTCTTGTCTTCTTGTAACAGCACCCTAGGTGTGTTCCTCTCACTAGATGTTAAGCTACTTGAGGTTAGCCCATCTTTCTTGTTTGTATTTGCCTCCTCATGAGTCCCGGATTCAATGAGGAATGTGTAGATAATAAACATTTGTGGAATTGAAAACCATCACCCAGTTGTGCATATGCCCCAAAGACAGATTGACTAGCCATTTGACTTTTCAGGTGAAAGCGCCATTGCATAAATATGGAGAAGAAAAAATATCATCTCGAAGATTGTTGTTTTTAAATGTCTTTTTCTGACAGCAACCAGACTATAAGAAGAACAAATTTTGATATTATGGGGTATAATATATAAAACGTACAATTGAAATAACTCATTCCACATTGTGTTTTTGTAGAGAGACACTGAATTCCAGGAGCATGAAAAGATTCTGTCTCCGGATTTTCTGTCAGTTGCCCAAATCACTGATTTGTTAACAGAGGACGTCGATGGAGTTCAAGAGTAAGCATTTCACTGTTACAATCGCATACAGAAGAACAGTTCTAGTTTTGCATCTATAAATGATTATGATTACATATTTAAGCTTTTTTCAAAATATTTGTTATAATATTATGCACTGAAATATATCTGGACTCCGAAACACAAAAATTCTCAAAGAACTTTTTACACTACACAACAGTCTCCTTTATGAAGAAAATACATTGTAAACCAACTTACCAATATTAACCAAGAGCAGAGGTTTGTTGGTAAAAGCAGGCTCTAGTATATGCCGTCTTCTACTTTTTTTCTGTTTCATTCATAAAATTGTCAATATGCACATTAACCCAAAGGATGTTTTCCCTCACTGTAAGAAGAATAAGTTGTGTTTTCTGTACTCAGAATGGAAAATGCATTTTGTTATATTGGAAATCTTGAATACTAGCCATCCACCTGTGATTTTCTTAGCCATCCGCCTGTGATATTATTATCAGGCATAATACTATACTAAGTACTCTGCATACATGTTACTTACAAATGTGATTACAATGGAATTTATAGGCAGTAATTCTAATATATATACATCTCACTCTTTAGGCGATTTACTTCTACAATAGATCATCTATTTAGAACTTTTGTCAGATACATCCAACAGCATAATATCCTAAATGTTGTTTTTAGTAATCACCCATTTAAAAAATGATCTCACTTTAGAATGGAAGCCTAATTGGCCATAATGTGTGGAGAGTGGGGATGATGTCATGCACTGGACTGTACCATCCTGGTATCAGGCCTCTGCAGGCCAGTCCTTGGGACACAAGCAGGGTGTCGTGGACCATAATAGACAAATAGCAAATGACTCTGTCAGTGGTTATCACTGACAAATTTTACAAATGTACAGAATAAAGATGACTTGCTACTGAGAAGGGAATATGACAGATGTCCTGGCTGGAAGAAAAATCTGAGAAGGGAAGGCTTATCAAGAGCAGGCGAATAACACTGACAGGCCTTTTCCTGAACCGCTCAGCTCCAGCACTGGCAACCTCTGCTAGAAACTGATGATTTGTGATCGGCCATACTGCTTACTATCTGCATCTCTGCAATATTAGGGAATTTAAAATTTCACAGATTTTAAACAAGTATCTCCTGATGATTTTACCGTTTTTATAGAAATTAATGTTTGTTAGGAATTCTGATTCTTAGTGTAAGAATTGATCTGTAAAATGCATGTATCATATTAATACCACTGATCATGCCTTTACGTAGAATGTTATTTTCCATTTCCATGTACCCCCAAATGTCATTGATCATTGCAATGTGAAACACTAGGTATTTGATACTAGGCAAAATAGTACAATGCAGATAGCAGACATTTTATACAGTTCATCATTTGTTTATATTAAATGTCAAGTAAAAGGTGTTATATTAAGTACAATTAATATTAAATAAAAACTGTTGCAAACAAGTGCTTTTTAAAATTCGTTCTTCCCACATTGTAAGTCGTGCTATGTATTGCACTTTGTATGACAAGAATTTTTTGAATTATTGGCTCTCTTTGTTGTTAAATATCTAAATGCTGAGCATATATTTAATCTTTAGTTGGTAAGGCCTAGGATGCAGTAAGTGATGCAGAAGGTGATGCAGAAGCTAGCAAAATAAAAACATCCAGGTTCAATAGCAGGTTGACCTTTTTAGACTGTCTCATTAATGTAGAAATCACCTGAAGTGATCTCAAATTTTAAGACATCATCTTTGGATAAATAACATGAGTATTATATTAGGAGCCATTTCTTTGTAAAACAATTTTCTTGAGATTCTTTACATGATTTTGATAATGGTAATCCTGAAATATTTGAAATCAGTCACGCACTTTCAATTTAAAATAGCATTATTATAAATGGGGTTATATGCTTTTCAAAATGACAGAAATACAGTTTAAGTATCCTATCACCAAATGATAGAAGTATGTGAAAATCATACAGTCTAAAAAGTTATAAGCCTATTAAAGTTAGAAATCAGCACATTTCCCTACCTCTTAAAATTAAAAATTGCTCTCCATGAAAGCAGCCAACCAAATGAAACATTAAAGTGTCATTAAAACATATTTCTGAAATTCACTTTAAGCAGTTAAATGTCTGAGTACATTTCTCATGATCTCTTAGCTGCTATCAATCATAAATATTCTAATGTAACCTTGACTTTATTTATAGATACATCTCAATTTTTTTTAAAAAAGAATAAGGACTAAAAGTAACTATATAAACACAAAAATAACACTGAGACATCTTTAATAATCTTTCGGTAGCTGGGCCTCCATGAGCTACTTAGCTCTTGCCTTGAGGCCTATTTCTGCATGTCATATTTAAGAAGCAAAATGCACCCCATTGTCAAGAACATGCAAGAATATTGTAATATTTTTACCCAAATTCTTGGTGAGACAAAATAGATAGGTATATCACCTATCATCACTATACCAAACTTTCTAAAACACAATGAATCATCTTTCTCTTTCCCTACATTCTGTCATGCTACAGCTGTGGCCATCTCTCCCCTCTCCCCTGTTCCATCTCCCCTTACAGAGAAAAAGTTTACATATTTGCCAGTAAAATACTGGAAACTTTGCATTCAAACCATGGCAGTCTCTTGCTCCAATTGCCTCCCTACATACTCTCCTTTGGAGTGAAATGACTGAGGAAAGAATGGAAATGGTAAATCCTTAGCCCTGTAGTTCAAGTTAAAAGTGAAGAGACAAATGGCATTAGGGAAAATGGTGAAGGGGATGTGGAGGACAGCAAAGTTGAAAGAGATCACAGAGATTTCACCAAAATATTCTTTGGCAAGTAGTTACTGTCATTCAAACCCAACTAAACATCGAAGAGTAAAAATAAAAAGCAAAGAACATATGCGAATATTCAGGGCAAATATTTAATTTAAAATACATAGTGTGCAGATGGCAGATGATGAGTATACTTAGAAGAAAAACTAAGTGCTAGAAACAGAAGAAAATGTTGGGTTAAAGCTAATAATTAAAGAGGACATCAAATTCACAGAACAAGAGACCAAAACAAAAAAAACATGGTAAAAAAATAGAAAGAAGAAGCTTTTAGAACCAAGGCAAGGAACTCAGGCTAAGAGTAAAACCAATGTAGAACTTACCTTGCTGAAAATCAAGTCAGTAATATGGAAGACAAATTTAAGAAAACTTATATAAAGTGTAAATAAAGCAATTATTTGAAGATACTAGAATATACCTTCAACCTTCAACATAGTGAATCAGAAAAAATAATCTACACTTCGTAAAAGCTTTGATTTCAATATTTTAGTAGAATAAAATCTCATGTATTGCCTTCTTCCTGGGATAAATTTAAAGTAAGTCACCTAGAGAGGAAAATAACAGTCCTCAGACTTTTCCTTAGCAAGGTTAGTCTCCAAAATTCAGTAGTGTGACAAGTAGCCAAAATTTAGAAGTCGAGAGAATATGATTGCAAAATAAAATACTATTTGTGTCTGTTGTTTAGTTATACTGGCAACAAGATACTGCAATATGTAGACCAACTCAGAAAATACAGTATTCATGTGGTCCTATTGAAAAATTTACCTCATAACCCAGCTGAAAGATAAATCAGTTCATTGGTGAATTTTAAACAACAAAACCTGCCAATCAGAAATTGTGATATAAGAAATCTGGCAGTAAGTGTGGACCATTTAAAATTAAAATAAAATAAAATATCATAACAATAAACTAAAACAATATTCTAGAACATGTCAACAAAAATAGGCAAGCACATGAGAAAAAAAATAATTGAATTTCCTTTTCTCACCAAAAATAAAATTGAATTGAAGCAGATGACCCCTATTTATAGTAATGCTATTTTAAATTGAAAGTGAGTGAGTGCAAAATACTTCAGGATTACTGTTACAAAAATCATATAATCACAAGAAAATTGCTTTAAAAAATGGCTCATAACAAAATGCTTTTAAATACTTGTATCATAGATGTAAAGGGTTAATGTCCCTAAGTTTGCAAAATACTTTGATAAATTTATAAGAAAAAGTAACCAATAGAGGACATTAAAAAGAAATTCAACCTAATGAATAAGCAAAGACATATAGAAGATAGTAATTTTTTTCTGTTAGATTGATAGATATTAAGATTATGGACAAAATCCAAACTAGATTGGAGTATAAAGAAGCGGACATTCCTGTGTGGTGTTGATGAAAGACTTATTTGGCACTTCCCTTTCTGGAGGGAAGTTTAGCAGCATATCTCACCATGGTCAGTATAACCCAGCAGTCCCAATTTTGGGAATTTATTGGAAAGATAATTGGAGTTTTGGAAATATCTTTTTGTTGAAGTCTTGCTCTGTCTCCCAGGCTGGAGTGCAGTGGTGCGATCTTGGCTCACTGCAACCTCTGCCTCCCGGGTTCAAGTGATTCTACCGTCTCAGCCTCCTGAGTAGCTGGGATTACAGGCGCCCGCCACCACGCCTGGCTAATTTTTGTATTTTAGTAGAGATGGGGTTTCACCATGTTGGTCAGGCTGGTTTCAAACTCCTGACCTTAGGATCTGCCCACTTCAGCCTCCCAAAGTGCTGGGATTACTGGCGTGAGCCACGAGGCCAGGCTGGAAAGATCTTAATTAATCATTTCTCTTTACTCTAGATTCTCAACCAATGGAGGACATCAAAGCCCATTTGAGAATCCTGATCTATTATTAACTGCAGTTAGGTCTCTATCCTACTGATAAGACTAAAGAATGGCAAGGCTTCATACTTCTCCTTCCTTGCTGAATACTAATCGTTTTTCAGTTACGTTCATTACAGTTTTTCCCCAGTCAGTAGCTAGTCTTTTCAATGTAATTTGTCTCTGATTCTCCAGAAGTGTTTTGTCTGTTTAACAAAGACAAATTTATTCGTCTTTTACTTTATGGTTTGTATTTTTTGGTGTCACTTTTAAGAAATTTTGGCCTATCCAAATGTCAGAAATTTTTTAAATTTAAAGTTTGTAATGTTTGCTATTGACATCTAAATCATTAACCAACCTGGATTTTATTTTAATGTATTATGTGGGATAGTATTTTATTTTATTTTCCATTTGGATATCCAATTCTCCCAGCACCATTTTTGAGGAATTTATACTTCTACTGATTTGAAATACTACCTCTGCCATATACCAGGCTTCTGTGTATATTGGGTCTGTTTCTGGGCTTTCTACATATTCCACTGGCCTACTTATTTATCCCATAACAATACCACAAGTTTTCATTATTGTAGAAGTTTTCTTACTGACTTTCACTTAAGAGTAAATGACACTGTACATTAAACATTGAGAAATAAATCTTGCCAAATGATGTCCAATGCAAATTAAAGATCCCTGGCTAATAGAGTAAAACCCTAATACCACCACCATCAGGATGTCTATATCTGCCAGTTGAGTTGAATGCTTGAAAAAAATGTATCAAAATGTGTAGTGACATGCAACATGAAAAACTGACCGTATTGACCTAAAAATTAAAAATATATAATGTTCTCACATATACAGATATGTACATGTATGTAATATATGACATAAAAGGAAACTCAGAGATAGATTAACTTCAAGGTTAATTGAGGCAATGTCTAAATAGTGTCATCAAGAAATGAGGCTAATCTTAGGACCCATTATTCTTAGGGTTACAAGATAACTTGGCAGTAGCAACTGGAGGCACTTGTTTACTCTTTTTTAATTTTTATTCAACAGAAAAAAAAACTTTATCCTCTGTTATTAATTATTTAGAATTATTTAGGAGCATGCCCATCATAGAACAATAATTATTTTTGAGACATGCCGTATACTAAATTACATTATGGTAAAGGGGTGAAATTACCATGATCTCCTTAGAATAATCCGAATTCTTTTGGGTTTGAGGTCTATCCTGATACCACTGTAGATGAAATGTTGAAGAAATAGACACATATCAACATCAGATTTATTTGCTCCCAAACTTGTTTAATCCTGCTATTTTTATTAATCTGGTTATATCATTTATTTTGATGTTAAGAATAATAAGGCCTTGCATTTTTGAAGATAGCAGTAAAAAGTTGTCACACACCTATTACCCCCCTCAGAAATCACATAAAAACAGCAAGGAAATATCATCTTCATCTTTGTCAAAACCAAGAGAATGCTAGTGGTCCAAATCACAAAACAGAAAGATGATGGCCACAGTCATGATAGATCAACCAGAATGCAGGAGAAGATATACAGAAGGATGCCCATAGTCAGAGAGCTTAGAATGAGCTAATTTACATTTATATCTATCTATCTGCTTAATCTCCCAGGAGGAGAAACCCTTAAATCCCATTCCAGTAACGCTTGTTTGCAATAGCGGGACCAGGTGTGTAGGTTTGGAGCAGATCCTTTCTGTATCACAGAAAATTGACTGTTTATATGATAATAAAGAGAGTCTATCCATTCTTTTCTTTATTTTTCCTTACCAATTAAAAATAAATAAATAAATGCTAGAATAATCGACAGAAAGTTACTTCATACAGAAAATGCCTGCTAGTTTGTAACATGACCACGTCTTCACCTCCAGTGTATTTCCTGAAAGTAGCTATTCAAGGACAAAAGCTCACTTCATCCAAAGATGAGGTATAAACAAAGGATATCCATTCTAAGACACTGCAAGAAAAAAATAGAAGAGCAGCGGGAAAGAGAAATAGCAAATAAAATACATCAGAAAGATATAACCATGAGCAGACAAAAAAATACATGTTTTACCATAAATTTTTAAATATATGAAACATTTACAAAAAGCATATAACAGAGATATAAAAGCTCAAGAAAGAGATAAAGAAATAAAAGATTATCAA